GCCTCAAAAACTCATTTAACTTGACCTTTCCGCTCCTAAATGCAATAAGCCCATACTATGTTCAAAAATACAATCTACCTCTACCTACTTACAATATTTTATCTTATTGGGTTTGTACCCACAGTATCTTTTAAACCACTGAACCGATTTTTTTCTGTTTGAAATCGCACCAGTAAGGTACATTATTAGACTAAAAATTTGAAAAACACCTGAAGAGTTTACATTTTATTCAACTAAAAATTACGGCGCTCCATATATTTTTTCAAAATAGTCTTCCATAATTACTTCCAAAAAAAAAAAAATCAAAAATGAAGTATTTACAATACCAGAGCTATTGGCAAAAGTCCCTTGAGAATAAGTTTTTCGAGGATTTTCCCAAGAACAGGTCTAAGAGGCTAATTGGTCTGTATGACACCGATTTTTCTGGAGGTTTGTCAGGTTTTAAAATTGAAATAATAACCGCTGACTTCCAGATAGAAGTCCTAAAGGCGAATGATTTTTTTTTGGCGGCAAATTTTATAACTATACAAGCTGTCCCGTCTTATCACTTAGGGGTATGAAAAATAGCTTACGACCTATTCTCAGACCTACTGAATATACATACAAAATTTCATAAGAATCGGTCAAGCCGTTTCGGAGGAGTTTTGTTACAAACGCTGTGGACACGAGAATTTTATATATATATTATTACTAATAAAATCGTTCCAAGTAATGTTGGCAAGTAATTACTTGACAACGTTAAGGCCCCTGGATACCGACCATTTTTAAGGAGTTTTGTATAGGCAATATTTAAGAAAAAAGTGGTTTTATTAAATTTCGACCATGTTAATTAATTTATCGGTTAATTTATATGAGCTTCATGGTATTGTTTTTAATTTAAATAATTTTGTCTATGAGTAAAAGCCATTTTAGTTTATATAATAGTACGTTTTTTGTCCATCGCACAGGCTGAACCAGTGATCCGATAAGTAATCTGAAAACAGATTTGAATTCGTCGTGAAGTTTACTTGAGATCGGTCAGCGTACTTTTTTGATATCTTATTCCTACTACGCATAAAACACGTTTGAACATTTTATAAAATTTTAAATTTTAAAATCAAATTTGGAAAGGGTTAAAATTAAAAATTGAAAAAAGTGCTCTGACCGATCTCAAGTAAACTTCATGACAAATGCATATCTGTTTTTAGATTGCTTATCGGATAAATGGTTCGGCCTGTGCGATGAACAAAAAATGACGTGTTTTGGCTGAAAAAAACGGTCGGTATCCAGGGGCCTTAAATTGATTTAATTTTGTTATTGTTACATTTGTTATTTTGAATGTTATTTGCTATTCAATTGTAAGTCATTATAAGTTCTTATTCCTTATTATTTCGAAAATGAGGTACAGAAACTCACATTAGTACGAAATTCGAGTAATACTAAACGTTGCATTTATTTTTACCTCCATACGGCTAAACATTGATAAGCACTCGTGATAATTTTCATATCATATTATTATTAAAATCTAAGTTACTCGTTATGATGTTGTTTTGTTAACGTTTTTTGTTTTCTTACTTTTAAAGTATTTAAAATATTATTAAGTTTAATTAATCGTAAGTATTATTTACTGTTATAACTAAAACATTTTAATAGGTCAATTTTAATGACCTAAGCCATTTTAGGGGTGAAAAAAAACAGAAACAATGGATCGGACTAAAAAACCTTCCTGCAGTAAAAATATGAACTTTTTGTACTACATTGGCCAAATTATAAAGAAAATAGATAAAGCCACTTTTGAAGGCACTTTTTTAAGATCAAAAACAACCAGGGATCATAAAGGCACGGTGTATGGTTTTCCAGAAGTCAGAGATGTTTGTGTGTTCAAAACTTCCCAAGTTGTAGGGAAACTTGAAAAACCTGTTCCTTACGGAAGAGGACTGTTCAAGTTCAACTATAATTGCAAATCAAATTCCTAATCTATTTGTATAACCTAAGTCATAAATTTAGTTGAAATCATAGTTGAACTTGAACGTTTAAACTGTGATTAAAAATACATTTTTTGTTCTATTTGTATTACCACGTCCAAAACTGGGAAAGAAACCCTTAAGACTGACAAAATTAAATTTAAAAACTGTATTTTAAATGTGTTAAGTTTGCCTCAATTGTTATGTTTATTAATTTGTTTATATACCAGTGTTAAAATTATGTTTATTTGATTGTTTATTTAAATATTAAGTTTACCAAATATCACCAAGAAGGTTTATATAACATATATTTGGTGTAAAATTAAATAAAACATTTTATTACATTGACAATTTTGTCTTTTTTTTAAAAATATCAAAAATTGTTTCTATTCATCATTCCGTTTGTAAAATAGAAAAATGTATAAGAAATGTTTATCGGTTGAAACTATAAACATGTTGTTCTTTTTTGAGGCTTATACACATAACTATCGTTTTGGCCACATACGGTCTGCGGACTACGGAGAGCCCACATCAAAATATATCAGCCTTCTCAGACAACTCAGAGTGGTGACAACTCATATTTTTGCCCGTTAATTTATACGTTTTTTAAAAATCGTCTTCAACACATTTATTTTTTAAATTTAAAAAAAGATTCTTAAAGCTGACACGTATTGTCCGTTTAAAATACCTACAGGTGAATTGGTAGTTTTTCTTCGTACTAAAAAAAAAAACAATCCCTTCTAAACAGTTAAAATTTTTTTTTTTAGTAATTAAATTTAAATATTCTCTTGAGTTGTATTATAAATGCTAATGAAAATACAGTGTATTGATCAACTGTGCCTTTTTTCTTACTCAAACTATCACGTTTGATCTTTGTTGAGCACAGTTATATTTAAACAATTTTATTGTTTTTTAATCTCTATAGAAGTCCATCAATGTTGAATCTATTATCTCATGTAATATTTAATATGGATCGTTTAGATATTTAATGTTATTTCGATTGTATTCAATTGTTACATTATTAACTAATGAATTTTCAACTCATATTTTTCCACCTCAGAAATACACCAATCAGATATTATGTGCAATGTATATAAACTTAATTAGTATTTAAAATCAATCAATAAACTGGCTTTTCCGTTACATGGTACGCAAGTTTATTTATTTTGCTCTTAATACTATATTATTTGTCAAATAAGAGACATACTGGTGCATTTAGCACGAAGAAAGTATTTATTAAACTTATCTATTTAATAGTTAATACTATATATTATCCATTTTTCATACAATCTTGTTTTAACTTTTAAAAACATATTATAAGTTAAATTATTTCTTAAGTGGTATTTAATTATATATTTTTCTAGATAAGTACTTTATTTAAATTTAATAAAAAAATGGCGATGTGTCGACAAAGCGTGAGATATAAAAAAAAATTAAAATTTAAAGGTAACCGACAAAAAATTAAAATTTTTAAATTTAATTTAAAACATTTCTTTCCTTGTTTCCGCTGCTTTTTGACTGTTTATTGTTAGGCACTGTTGGACAAAGATACTTGTTTTTAACCAGTTGAAGTGTTTTAAGCTACATTCTTAAATTATAAAAATAATTAACTCGAGCAAGTAAAAAGTTATTATAAAACATATTCAACTGAAGTTAAAACAACGGTTAAAAGCTTATTACCAAATTTCTCAGTAACTAATATTTACACTACAATTTTTAATCGTTTTACTTACAATAACATTACCTAGGTATATTATGATAGCTTTATGCTCCCGTTAGTTATCGTGGTAAAAACGTTTACATTGGAAATAAAAAATGACAGACATTTTTGCAAAAAGAACTTTATCTACAAATTGGTAATAACTACTAAATCCATTGATGAACTGTTGATGAGCCATTGTTTTTTATACCTAAACAAATAACGTTATTAAATGTGAAAATACCTTATTGTTTTAAATCAAGCGAAACCAAAATTAATTATTTAGTATTTAAATAAATAATAGAATCAATAATATGTAAACATACCTATTATTTAACGTGTAATTAATGCATCAAACAAATTATTAAAATATAAAAGTAGCAAATTTAATCAAAAAAATATTCATACAGAAGAAAACATAAAAGTAAAATAATTAAAAGATAAAAATAGATTCCATAAAAATTAATAAATAATTAAAATTAAAAATCAAGTTTAAAAAATTAACTTACACAATACTAGCATATTATACATTCTTATGTTAAATTATTATAGCTTCACTATTGTAATTGTAATGTTTTTATTTTTGAAAAAAACTAGTTTATAATAATAATAATATACTACTGTATATAATCAGAAAAGTAAATCGATAAAAACATATATATATTTTTTGCCGAGCTTCTCACAGGTGTGCACCAATCCGTTTTGTACCAGGGGAGTTGTGACCACCCGATTCTTGAACTTACTCTCTTGGCTCCGTTAATGATTGGCGGCGGTTTAAATATTTGTATGGGAGAACCATAACTATAGGGTAGTTTCAAACGAACATTTTTTCTTCGAACAAAGTTAATTATCTAAACTGCGAGTCCATCTCGGTTTTAATAAACGTAGTACATACATGTAATAATAGAATTAGAAAATATGAAATAAATAAACGTTTAAAACGACAAGACTCAAATGAAAACTTTTAACGTATTACTGATCAATACACTTCATACCACAGCTATCGATATTATTTTTCTCACTTCTTTTAATTTTTTGTAAAAAAAAAAAAAAAATGTTAGGGTTTAAACTTAATAAAATTAAATAATAACGGTGAAGCAGTGTCGACAGATGGGATGGACGGAGAGGAGTAATGGTCCCGACAAAGGACCTAAATGGCCTGTATATTAAGCCAACACAAATTATGACTGAAAGTAATGAAATAATTTTATAACAGCGAGCAAAGAGTTTTTATTATGCAGTACAAACAATTATTTGACAATTTTTCTATCAGCGTGACACGCAAAAATATATTTAAATTGATTAACAGTAGTACTTTATACTTTATGTATTATTTATTAAATAATAAACCTGAGGGAATAAAAATTATTTATACTAAACTAAGCTCTGCCCTAGCACCATTTGAGTAATGTTCACGACTCTCGTTCCATGACGTATGACACACATATCGCCATGTGTAACATAAGCAAGTGTTGTGTATGATGTTGGATTTGTTGTACTCCAGAACAATTCTAGGATTAGACATTTGTGGGTAAAATCACTAATGTGGTTGCTTGGGCCTAAAAAAAAAGTTGGCCAAATTTAGCTAGCTGCACTGACAAAAAAAAATATATAGTTGGACAAACTAAAATTAAGGCTAATCTTACATAGGTACTCGTCCGTGAGGAAAAAAGTGTATTGAGTCACAAAATTACATGTAAATTTTACAGGAGAGAGAAAAATAAAATAACTTGTTGAACTAAGTTTGCAGTTTCTTTAACTAGAAAATTAGTGGGACGATTTATTTATGTAGTTATTTCAACTATATGTAATGTGTTAACTGTAATGTTTGTTGATCCGAATATGTATTTTTTCCGTGTAACTACTAGTTTTTTTATTAGTTTATTATTTACTATATATAATTTCCAGTACCTAATAACGATGATAAAACTGGTATTAACATAGCTCTTCGCTCAGCTCCAAGAGCATTGATACTTTTTGCACCACTAGCTGAAAAATTCAACAATTGTGTTAAACAAAGTATAAATAAATAACGGTAAAGTGTTTTTATTATGGCAATTTTGTAACCTCGGTAGACACGGTGAAATTCCAAAATTCCAAATTACATTATTCGAAAAACAACAGTAACCAAAATGAAGAAAAAGTAGAAACTTTAATATGAATAGTAGTTTGAACAATGTCAAACACTTTTTGGGATATTTCATTAAAGCAAGAAGATGTGCGACAACTACAATTACTGGCATAATTTTTCACTGACAATATTTAAATGCCAATAGAAATAAATATCGCACACAAAAGTTTCGGCTAGTGAATACGAGCCATTCTACTAGCTAATATTACTGTTTATTAAAATAATTAAAAAAAAAAAAAGACTAATTCTTGTTGTTTAATATTTGTACTTATGGTAGATATATATTTACGACTGTCGAATTACCAAGAGCTTCAGCCCGGACCTTAGTTAAGCCTGTAACAAAAACATGAAAATATGCAATAAATAATTGTACGGCTATTGGAAATAAGTATTTTATTAGACGGTACGTATAACGGTAACTTTAAAATATAAGACTACTTAGGCCAATTAATTAACTTGGTCGTTTATGTGTGAAAGATCAATAGTCTCGATTTTGTTGGCCACAGTACCAGAAACCCATATTTTTTTTAAGTCAAGTTGTATGTGAAACACAGTTATTTTTAATTTCCCATTAAGTTTAACATTTTGGATCAAACCCCTCCCATAAACGATTGATTCGATTTAGAACACTTGAAATAATATCTAGTAGGTATAGCCGCTTTTGAGTAAAAGAAATCAACGGAATGATATCAAATCAGATCATTAACACCAAGTTGAAAATATTTAGCTTACGACTATGATTTCAAACCGAAAGTTTTTAAGTACAGTTGAATTTTAACTGTCAGTTTTGTAATGTGTTTGTGAAAATAGGTTGAATTTTATAATTACCTGAGCCTTCGGCCATTACTAGTTGCAGATTACGCTCCATTAAGTCTTCTAAAATTAAAAACAAAAAACATTTTTATACACGTCTATTGTTATGGCAAAATTAATATGCATAATATGATTGTTCTCATAATTTAAAAAACTAATGTAAAATCCGTGTGTGATGTATTATTAACATGAAATATGAATTACGGAGATGACAGTCTTGTTCTGAAATTAAAACGAAAACACTTTATACTTGTGAATAACCACAACAACTGTATAGAAATATTTTCAATTATTACCAGGTAGTGCAAACATAAAAGTCAATTTCTCTGAAATTATGATTACAAAATATTTATTTTCAAAACGATAGTAGACTTAATTTCATGTACAATATAAATTTAAAGAAGAAAGTCAAGATATAAAATACACATTTAATAATCATAATGCAAGTTAAATTTACAAATAAATAAATTGCAATAATTATTGTATCAATTCCAAAACATTTCTTCTGCTAGCATAGTTAATCGGTTTTGTTGTAGAATAATAGTTACCCATTAAGACCTCATTTTCAACAACTTCTATTATTTTGCCCACAATGGTGTCTGAAATAAATAAATAATTGATCGAGTAAAAAAAAAAATCAAATGAAATTTTAATGCGACATAATATGTAGAAAAATGTTCTGATTAGAAGTACACTTTGGGTTAAATGTGGCCAATTTAACTAGTGATAAACCGTGTGGGAATTTTATTACACAATTATTCTATAATATATATTCCAGATCATCAATAATATTGTACAAACTGAATTATAATATAATAATATATTATTCGTGTGGGAGACTCTTTTGAGAAACATACAAATTGCATTATTTCAGCTTATTGTCCTCATCAAACCTCGACTTCACCGATGTTGATAATTCCTGGAGTTCTTCGGTAAAAAACTTTTTTTTAAAAATACAATACACACACAAGCCAATAATTGGAAACATTTTTTTTTTTACTAGAGATTATAGTTCATAAGTATAAATCACCTTATAGTCAGGCAAATGGCAATTACAACAAAACCATTAAATTTATAGTATTAATCATTTTAAGTGTGTCTTACTTCTATCAATATGTTCCCGAATGAGTATGTCTGTAATAAATTATGTATAAAAACTGTAAGTCTTAAAACTTAAATAAGTATTTTGTGAACAAAAAATGTACTGACTTGTAGTTTCAAGCCTTTTTCTTGCATTTAATTCGGCCTCTCTTTCTATCTGGGCTATCATTTCGGATTCTTCAGCGAATTCGTAATCTGTAAAAAGTTGAATATTGAATTTTTTTATTATATTTATTTATACCTAAACCAAATACCTTGAGCAGGTACTTGTAAAAACGAATTACATACCAATATGGGCCATTACATTTAAAAACGCACAACACAGTAGTACATAAAGAACTTCCATTTTTGTCTGCAAATAATAATGCAAATTAAAACATGTCATATTAGACGGAGGTATACTTACAATAAAATCTAAACATTTATTGCACAGTTCCCTTTATGTACATTTTTTAACTCCAAGCAGGATTATTTCTTTTTCATTGTGTTCACTTACTTACATTGCTTTGACGCATGTAGTTTAAACTCAATATTGAAAAACAATTATTGACAAATGTATACTAGTTTTCAAAATTATTGACGTTTCAGAGTACGGTCGACTTGAATAGAGTTGTTTTTCGATAGAAGCTACACAGGTGTAGAGGCATCTTAATTATGTCAAGACGGATTATGTTTGGTTACATTAAACACGTTACATGTATTTATTCTGGTAGCCTAAGAACTCGAAGTAATGTAGACAAATGACTGTTTGGCATCACAAATTTTTAAAGTTTTACTATTATTATTTTTTTTTTATGAAAAACAAATGGTTTTCAGACTGATTGTTACATATATTATATGAACACAAATTTTGTATTAAAACCACCAATAACAACACTTAAACAAATAGTTTTTTGACCTAAGTATGTCGTGTAGCCTAGTTAACACATTTTTTATTAGGTACCGTGTTCATAATTTCCGATATGTTAATAAATAAATAAAATTCCTCTTCATTCATTAATGTTTCGCAGTTAAGAAAAATAGTATCGTTAAACATTTCCTATAAAACCAAATTAAATATAATAACACGTAAGAAATGTAAATGTTCACACTAGGACAATTTATTGGAAAAATATTTTCGCTTAATAGGTATATAAAATAGTTATTTGATACAATGGTTTTCATACACTACAGTACATATACATATACAGTGTGATTATTTTATCATAGGCCACTCAATATCTCACTTAGTTTAATTGATAATGTAATATTCGCACAGAGACTCATCTCGGATGGCATTACAATATCCTGTAATAAAATTGGGACTCGGACAACCAGGTTAGGTTAGGTTGGCAGTCTACACAGTGTCATTGTAAGGATCATTTGACATTTCACTAACACTTCATGTTTTTCAAATCATCCAAAATGAATTTAATAATCTATTCAGCAATTATCAAGTATCTTTAATAGGACTAAAAAGTAAATTAAAATAAATACATTTAAAAAAAACTCTTTTAAAAACATACTTTTCTAAAAAATAGTAAAAAATTGAACTAAAAAGGAAAAATAAATTTTACTACAACAACAATTTACCAATCAATATTGTAGACAATTTTATTTAAAATGTCATTTACTTTGAAAACAACCGTTAAACATCTTTAATTTTTTACTAAAAAAAAAACCGTTGGCCCTATTCAACAAAGTCTCAATTCATCGAGTTAAGTATTATGAAATGTATGCGTCACACAGTAATATTAAACCAAATTTAAATTAGAAAAAAATCTACAGTATAAAACATTATCTGAAATGTTAACTGATAAACTTATTAGGGACTTGGCTGAACATTTTCGGTTGTTTTCACTGCTATTTTAAATTAAATGTGCTACAATTGATTGGTAAATTGTTCTTGTAGTAAAATAATTTTTTAGTTCACTTTTTTTACTATTTTTTAGAAGAGCATGTATTTAAATTGCGAATAATGTACTAAACATTTTGACTGGTCGATAACAAGTTTTGGATAATATTATTTTTGAAGTACATACATAATAATAATATGAGTACCCAATAATTCCTGGTGATGTTGTTCAGTTAGTGCAAAACACTTGTTTAAAAAATACATATTTTTTTGTGTTTAATATGTTAGACATATTAGAGTTACTGCACCCGGAGGACGATCATATAAGTATAATATGGTATACAACTAAACAAGTGTTGAAAACCCTACGTTACAATGCTAAAATACAATTCACGTCGATTATAAATACAATAAAATATCATAACGTTGTATACAACAAATTATTCAAATAAAAGTTCTTCGTTTAAAAATGTAGGTATTCGAATGATTTTTAAAAAATCATTTAAATAGTCTATAGTTGATTTTTTTAAGTAATTATATTTAAAAATATTATTTCGTATACATCATTTAATACATTCTACATTTAGAAAATATATAAAACCAGTAAATATAAGAAAACAATTTCGTATATTACTTACTTAAATAATTGCTGCAATGATAGTTATACTGACTGCTTCAACGGTTTGCTTACGACTTAAACGAATAAAATCCAATGTGTATTTTGCGGAATTGTTAATGCGAATTTGTTAACATAAGCAACATTAGTAATGAATAACATATTTATTTTATTCTGAAGCATAACACCCAGTAGAGTATAATATTATATTTGCTCAATATCGTACAATACTGTACCAGATGCTGAACACCTAGACAAAATAAATCAATTTAATAACTCTCCACTTCCAATGGCACTACCAGCTAAACACACCTCACCTGATGAAATACTTGCAATAATCAGAAATCTTAAAAACAAAAAGTCTCCCGGCCATGACAAAATAAATAACAAACCGCTAAAAAATATTCCGCCAAAAACTATTATTCTACTGTCATATATCTATAATTCCACGCTTCGTCTTTCATATTTTCCAACCACTTGGAAAACTGCCCTTGGGAAGATCTTGGGAAAAATCATCTTGCAAATAATCCTACCTATTATCAATCAACTAAATTATCAAACCCAACTTCCAGTTCGGCTTTAGATCCAGACACTCCACATACCATCAACTTAATCGAGTAGAATTGATCACATAGCTGAGTCTCTTGGAACGAAAAAAAAATATTGCTCTGGTGAATTCTTGGACGTAGCACAGGCATTTGATGCAGTTTGGTTCGATGGCTTACTTTATAAAATAAAAGGTTTCCTCCCAACACCATATACTACCTGCTCATTAAATCCTTTCTAGAAAATAGAACCTTCAACGAAAGAATAAACACCACACTGTCAAACAGTTTAGTATTGAGTACATAGCGCACCCCGCCTTCACTGTTACTCATACTACTTGCTACAGAGTGATTTTTTTATCATAGGCCACTCTCACTGGGTTTAATTAATAATTACATTTTTTTTTTCATAGTATTTTTATATAATGTGATCTCATTTTTCCACAAATTATTATGTCTCTACCTCCCTCCCGAACTAGTTTTTTTGATGGCAACTTTTGAAACTTAAATGGTAACGTACATATTTTTGAAACTTTTTAAATTAAGAATATTACACTCAAAATGTTGACCGGTTGATAACCAGTTTTCATTCATTTCATATTGTTTCACTTAAAGTTATAAGAGCTTGAAAGTTTTAACGAGAAGGGAAGTGCGGATGGGAAGTTGATTCAATTTTTACAATTTTTTTTTGTTATAATGCTGATAAAACATTTATGGGGTCAGTAGGAATAATGTATTTATGAAATTAATTTACATTTTTATTTCGAAATAACATTATTTTTCGTTGAGCCTCTGATCCAAATTTCAATAACACCTGCCTCATAGCCTGTGAGTCAGTACGATTGGAGGTTTTTTTTTTCACTGTTTACATATTTTCTCAGATATACAGTTATTTTTTGGGACGGTTTTTTTTTTTTTTGCTATTTGTCTTTATATGTTTTAACAAAAAAGCCTTCAAAGTAGAACTCTACTTTAAAATGTATGCCAACAGTTATTAGTCATTTGTTTACACTTCAACAGTCATTGTAAAAAATCTGCATTTTCATGTAGTCAAATGTATACGATTGTTGATTAAACACATAAGAGCCCTCTACATGTAGCTAAATCACTTAAGGGTGGAAAAAACATATTTTTATAGCTATTTTTAAACACTGCAACCAAGTTGTAGGTTTTATAATTGTAGTTGCTTTAGTAGTTCTATTTATAAACTCATAACATTTTTAATATAAATTATAGCCGCTTTTGTGATATTTTTTTTAAGAGATAATCTATGCGCCTAAAACCGAAGAGTAATTGCAGCAATTTTTTAGTGTCAAAATTTCGATTTTTATTCCAACTACCAAAATGTTATAGCTACAGCTGATATTAGTTGCATAGACCTATAAAGAAATGGACTGGTAGTAGAGAGAGAGGTCCGAATATCGACATCGTTAAAAAGAGACAGAGAGAGTTGGTAGGTTCGTCATGGAAGAAATAATATTATCATAGAGAAATAGTAATATGATAATACCCGATAGCGACATTTTTATATTAAAATGTTTTAATTAATCTTATTATATTTTTTTAAATATTGAGTTTTAATTATCATTATTATTATTATACGTTAAGTTAAAGTCAGCCGAAAAATCAAATTAGGTCCCACTTAACATAAACCATTCATTTCAAAAATCAGTAAAATGTATTATTCTTTTTTTTATATTTTTTTATTATGATTATTACCTATTAACAAATAAGTAGTGAATTTGTTTAAACTTAGATGCAGATCTGTGGTGCAATAAATTGTCTACTGAGTTTGTAAAGAAAAACTATTTTTCAAAACATACTTACACGTTTTATAAAAAGTAAAACAGAATGTTCATTGATAAAATTTGAATGAAATTGTAATGGTTTTTAAGTATTTATTAACGATATACTATACATATCATATATATAATATGATTTAATTATTATATATTTCCATTTGGTGTATTGTCATATATATATATATATATATATATATATATATATATATTATAAATTCGAATATTCCAATAGTTGTATAATAATATACATTTTAAATTAGACTGTAATTCCTACTTTTAGCGATGTAGAATAATGTTAAGTTAGTACTTAAACATATTCTCGCTCCGATTCTACCGATCTAGCCTAATAAAATAAATGTAACTGTAATTTTCAAAATCAGTATTTATTCTGTTGATGCATGAAATAAAAATTAAAAAAAATTAGATAGCAAACGAATGTATAATAACAAATAAATATGTCAACAGAATTTCACATGCAAATATGCAATAATTTGATAAATAAAGAATTTAATTCCTTATGTCATGATTTATATGTTAACAT